CTCGGACGAACCGGAGAGCCCCTGAAGTAGTAGGATTTTCCAACCCTAAACCCTAAACCCTAAACCCAGAACCCTAAACCCTAAACCCCTAAACCCTAAACCCTAAACCCTAAACCGTGGTGTGTAGGGTTTACGGTTGAGGATGCTCTAGGGGTGTATAGGGTCTAAGACCCAGGCTTCTTGCAGAGGTTTTGCGATCTCCGAACTGAGGGACATGTCTTCAATGATGCGAGGTTTAGCATGAGGGATATTAGGGCCCCAAGAAAGCACATAAGCAAAAATTAGGATAGGGGTATCCCATATAAACCATCTTATAATGAAGCCCAATAAGGTAGGGATATCCCTTTAAAATGCTTATGCTTATGTGCTTTTTGGGCTCTTAAGATATAGGGTTTCGGGTTTAGTGTTAAGGGTTTAGGGTTTCGGGCTTGGTGATATCTTCCGATCAGGCTGCCTATAGTCTCCGTTGTAGTTCCTTTTTGGAGCTACCCCGTTAAGATCCTTAATATTAAAGTTGGTGAAACCAAAAAAGGACTACAATGGAAGCTATAGGTAAAGCCTCTAACCTCTAAACCCGAACCCGAAACCCCTAAACCCTCAACTCTAAACCCTAAATCCTATGGAATCTTATGGTACCCCTCAAGGTATATTCCTGCATCACCAGCGATGTTGGGCTGTCTGGGACTATGGTTGCTAAGGAGGAGGCGTAGCCGTGTCTCTCCGTCGGGAAACAGCTCCTCGCACGCAAAGCAGCGCTCAACCCCAAACCCTGAACCCTAAACCCTAAACTCTAAACCCTGAACCCTAAACCCTGAACTCTGAACTCTGAAGCCTAAACGGTGAACCCTAAACTCTGAAGCCTAAACGCTGAACCCTAAACCCTACTGCAAGCCCTGGAGGTGAAACGCCGCAGCTCCAAGTAGCCCATTGTCGGTCCCATTCGTAGACTTTACACCCCAATGTGGGTCTTAGTTGTGTACGTGCGCAATACTCTTCCTTAGTTCCCATAATTATCATAGAGGATGACAACAAGCGTACTATAATGTCCCCAAAGCCCTGTTTTCATCCTTCAGGCCCCTTATTTTTTCTGGTAGGGTCTCTGCTCTGGTATGTCAGGGAGCTTGACTCGGCGCAGGGATCTTGATTTCATACTCGCTGCAGATCAAGCAGCGGGTACCAAAACCGAACCCTAGACCCTAAACCCCTAGACCCCTAACCCCTTAAACCCTAAACCCTAGAAGGGATGCACTTGCAGGCCCCGTCCTTGTTCTTTTCATGGTTGTCCTCAGCCTTGTGCGTGTGCTCCAAACCTTTCACAAGTCACTCGGGCGCAGGGGCACAGGAGCGTTGTGAAAGACTATGCTAAACAGGTCCGTATCGAGATTCCTTCTGGATGATGGGCGCCCTTGATGCATCAAACTTCAAGCTCGAAGACGGTCAAGCTTAATTAAAACACTTTGCCCAATGTCCTAAACCTTTCCCCCCGAGTCCTGAAGCTTAAACCCTAAACCCGAAACAACGACAGGTGGCTGATGGATTTCGTACTCTTTATCTCGTTTTTGATCTTCGTCTCGAGCCGGTCCTCCCAAGCTTGCACTCCCGACTTAGGGCTTAGGGTTTAGGGGCTCTTCGGGTTGAGAGTTCAGGCTGTGAAGGTTTCGGATCTAGGGTTTAGGGCTCAGGGTTTAGGGTTTAGGGTTTAGGGCTTTAGGCTTAGGGCTTAGGGTTCAGAAACTAAGATTTGGCATTTCGGGGTTCAAGGCTTCAGGTTTTGAGGTTTTGGGTTGTTGGAAAGCTGAGGCTTGGGGTTTTCTTTCGGCTTTACGCAAGCCTCTACCCCCTGCTCAAACAAAAAAACCCTGTAAAGCCCAGCCCTTAACCCGAACCTCTGCGCTTAACCCCTCACCCCTAAACTTAAGCCCCACCTTGAACCCGAAAATACCCCAAATTCCTAAAGCCCTAAACCGTATAAACTCTGAACCCCGAAAGCCCTAAAACCCACAAAGCCCCTCTGGAACCCTCATAAAATCCTTACCGGAACCCGATGGTTACCTTGTACAGGAATCTCTAAACCCCGAGAACCCTCTAAAACCCCACACCCTAAACACTAAAACCTTCAAGGACATCCCTAAACCCTAAACCCTAAAACGTTTAAAAGAATCCCTAAACCCTAAACTCTAAAACCTTCAAAGGATTCCCTAAACCCCAAACCCTAAAACCTTTGAAGGAAACCCTAAACCCCCCCTAAGGGTCCAAAGGACCTAATAATCATGTACTTGGGTTACGGATAGTAGTTTTGTAGGTTAGTATTCAGAAGAGTTAATATGATTGTTAGGTACTGGGACCCTTAGGCTAACCCTAAACCCTAACCCCAAACCCCTAAACCCTAAACCCTAAACCCTAAACCCTAAAACCCTAAACCCTAAACCCTAAACCCTAAACCCCTATAAAACTCTCCTGAAGGGTGAAGTTCCGCAAGGTGAACGCGTTTGCCGAGGCATTGTCGTCGGGGCCAAGGAAGCTGGCTTTCCTGCCAGGGCTTGGAGAAATAGGTCAAATCCTGTGATAGAACTTAGGTCAACCTTAATGATTAGTGGTAAGTCTTAAGTCATTCTAGGTGATACATCCTGGTTATTCCTTTTCAGGGTTTAGGGTCTTAGGGTTGTAGGGTCTTAGGGGATTAGGGTGTAGGTTTTAGGGCTTAGGATTTAAGGTTTAGGGTCTTAGGGGTGGAGGGCCTCAGGGCTTCAGGGGTTTTTTGACCTAGAGTCTCAGAGGGCTTTAAAGTTATAGGGGTGTGAGGGTTTAAAGTCTCAGGGGGGGGGGTAGGGTTGAGGGTCTAAGGGGTTTAGGGCTTAGAGTCTCCGGGGTTATGGGTTTAGGGTCCTAGGGGTGTAGGGTTGAGGGGGTTTAGGGTTGAGGGTCTTAGGGGGTTAAGGGTGGAAGGTCTTGGTGAGGGGTTTAGGGTCTTAGGGGTGTCGGGGCACCCTAACCCTCCAGGTACCTACTTTAGAGGGTACTAGAGCCCCTGAATCCCTATATAGTAGGTACTTGGAGGGTTAGGTTCAGGGTTCTTTTGCCATTGCTTGCATCAACATCCCTAAAACCAGATTTTCCGCATCGGAACCTATTCAGCTTCTGCGTTAAACCTCCGAAACTCCCTGCTAAAGAATGTGTATGACCCCTTGGGCGTTTCTGACAACAAATGACAGGGGTCCAGGATTGGGGGTTTCGGAGTCAGACGTAATTTAACTACAACCCCTAAACCCTCAACCCTTAAACCCTTAAACCCTAAACCCTTAAACCCTAAACCCTTAAACCCCTAAACCCTAAACCCTTAAACCCCTAACGCCTACCCACTAAAACCTAAACCCTAAATCCCCGAACCGAGCTCCCCCGAAAGCTGGAGAACCCAGGTTTCTCCTCAGCGTCTTCGCGGAGGCATCCGAGCCCAGACTCGTCCTTGAGGCACTCGGTGAAAGCTTGATCGGTGGGGAGCCTGAGCCAGTATAGGGATTAGGTTGGATGGTTGGGTTTAGGGTTTAGGGTTTAGGGTTCAGGGTTTAGGGTTAAAGGAAATCAGAATGAGGAACCCCCAAAAGAGAGGTTTTCTTTGGGTTCAGGTAGGGCTTCAATTGAGGGGCTGAGGGCTGAGAGTTTAGGGCTAGAGGTTTGGATTTTCTTGTGTTTAACACCTCTTTCCGTGAGCACTTGAGGTTTAGGGTTTAAGGCTTAAGGTTTACAGAGTTTAGTGTTGAGGGCCGTTATGAGGTTTAAAAGGGTTTTACTCATGTGTCTGTTTTGAAGGTTCTCCTGGTCTAGGCCTAGGCCTGGATCTGGGAGTCAAACAATTATGCTGCTTATGCGGCCTGCACTGCGCAATGAATCGGCAGTTCAAGTGCTTCTGAACAAACGATAAGCCTCATTCGTGGGAGCTTAAATGTCGAACAAATGTCGTGTGCCTGAACTCCCAACTCATTAAACCCTACTTTCTATGGATTCCTCATTATGTATTCTTGGTATAAGTCCGCAAAGCAGGTAGGTCTTAGGTGTCAACTAAGTAAGAACATCAAGGCCTCGATTGCCAGGCCCGGCACCAAAACCCTAGACCCTAAACCCTAAACCCCAAACCCCAAACCCCAAACCCCAAACCCTAAACCCTAAACCCTAAACCCTAAACCCTAAACCCAACAACGAAGCTTGAACACCCTAAACCCTAAATCACAAACATCCCGAAACCCTCTTAAGGCCGCATGACTCCCTTAAGGCTTCGGGGTTTAAGGGTGTAGGGGCTTAAGGGTTCAGGGGTTTATGGTTAGTATTTTAAACACGAATCGGGGTAGTTCTCTAAATTAGGGTCCCCACCTTGTCAAACCTTCATAAAATCTGCTTCTGGGTGCCACTATCACAGAGACCCTCCGGACCGTAAAGCCAAAAAGAATCGGCACGACTAGAAGGGTTCTATGAAGGTTACTGTTTAGGCTTAGTGAGTCTAGGGGTTTAGGGAGTTTCGGGTGTGGGGTTTAAGGTTTAGGGGTTTAGGAAATAAAACCCATGCCCACAAACCCCCCCCCCAAAAAAAAGCCCGTACTGGACCCTGAACCCGAAACCCTCAACCCAAACCCCCTAAACCCTAAACTCCTTATCCCTAAACCCTAAACCCTAAACCCTAAAACCCTAAACCCTAAACCCTAAACCCCTTATCCCTAAACCCTGCCTTGATCCAATCTAAACTTCCCAACCTCAGACTCCCCGAACCCTCCATCTCAAGGGTTTAGGGTTTAGGGTTTAGGGTTGAGGGTTGAGGGTTTAGGGTTTAGGGTTTAGGGATTAGGGTTTAGGGTTTAGGGTTTAGGGTTTAGGGTCAACCCTATAGCGGAAGACAGGTTGCTTTCTCCTCCATCCGCCATCGGACCACCTCAAAGCCCTGCAACCTCAAGCAATGGGCTGCAATGCTTAGGGTTTTGGGGCTTAGGGTCTAGAGTTTAGGGTTTTAGGGTTTAGGGTTTAGGGTCTAGGGTTCACGTTCGGGAATTCAGCCTTAGGGCTTGGCTCTTACGGTTCAAGGCTTTCCCAGAGGCTCCATGTATACTACCATTATGGAAAGAGGCCCCAAAAGACCATCCTTATGATGGTTTTAGGGACCCAATTCCATAATGGTGGTAGAGGAGGGGGGAGGGTTCGTAATGACAAGGCGTGCTATCCTTTTAGCTCGAGGCTCCGGATTTAAAGTGCTTAGGACAGGTGGACTATAGACTCTAGACTGCATAAGATACCTGAGTGAATCACCAGACAATACTAGAAAACTACGAGAATACGAGAAATTATTCCGCCCACTCTATTCGAGTGCTGGCAAAGGCTGCAGCCAGCGAAACCTACATCCTAAACCCTAAACCCCATAACCCTAATTCCTAAAACCCTAAACCCTAAAACCCCTAAACCCAAAACCCCTAAATCCTAAAACCCTAAACCCCAAAACCCTAAACCCCAAAACCCTAGACCCCAAAACCCTAAACCCTAATCCCCTGAAACCCGCAACCCTAAAACCCAAAACCCCAAAACCCTAAACCCCAAAACCCTAAACCCTAAAACCCCCAAGCCGTAATTCCCTAAAACCCTAATCCCCTGAAGCCCTCAACCCTAAAACCATAAAACCCAATGCTCACTTCCGAAGCTTCGGAGAGTCGGAGGCCCGTAAGATCTTCGATGGAAAGGCTGACCCTAAACTAATGTAGGGGCCTTGGGTTTAGGGTTTAGGAATTAGGGGCTTAGGGTTTAGGGTTTAGGGTTAGACAAGGTTTTTTGGGGCTCCTTTAAAAGGGTTCCTTAAAGGGTTCTATAAGGGCTGCAATAAGGGTTTAGGGTTTAGGATTTAGCGGCCTCAATAATTAGAAAAGGCTTTTTGGGGCTCCTTTAAAAGGGTTCCTTAAAGGGTTCTGTAAGGGTTTAGGGTTTAGGGGCCTTAATGATTGGAGTAGGGTTTTGGGCTCCTGTATAAATAAGGAACCCTAGCAATAATATTGGTAATTATTTAGGCTTCTATATTAAAACAAAGCTCCATGTCAATGCAGGGGTTCGGGTTTATCATAGGGCGTTTAGGATTTAGGGCTTGGGGGTTATGGCAATAACATAACCTTACAACTTTTTTGTCCCTTCCCTGGATGCTTGTAGTGTGCTACGCCCCAAAACCACATTCTAATCATTCAGGTGCCTTCGGTCGGCGAAAATGACTTCAGTAAGGATGGCCTGAACCATAAATCCTGCAAGGGGACCCGGAAAACTTGAGATGCCAAGCGGCCGGGGATGTCCCGTGAAACAAACCAAAGTGGGCACAGAAACTTGTGCCACAATGGCTGCAGCATTCCGCATCACAACAACGCGCCAAAACCCTAAACCCCTAAACCCGAAACCCGGGAGGCTTAGGGTTTAGGGTTTAGGGTTTAGGGTTTAGGGTTTAGGGGTTAAACCCTAAACCCTAAACCCTAAACAGGGCTTCGGACTCCATGGGCATCTGATGCCTAATCGCATGTCGCTCTTCTGGACACATTGAACAAGATCGGCGCCCACCATACTATGGAGGCCTTAATAGTTAGAATAAGTTTTTGGGGGGGCTTTGTTAACAGGGTTGGGTTCCTTCAAGGGTTCTATAAGGGCTACTATAAGGGCTTAGGGTTTAGAGTTTAGGGGCCTTAGTCATCAGAATAGGGTTTTGGGGCCCAATATACTATAATTGTAACAAGGAACACCCAAAATAACACAGGTAAGTATTTAGGCCCACAGGGCCGTTGTGCTCTTAACAACACCTTAAGATTCGCGCTCTCAACTAGCTGTTTATCACTATCGTCATCATCATCGCCCCGGCAATGCCAGCATCAGCTCAAACGTGCAAGATCAGGCCATGAGCCCGTAATCCCTAAACCTTACAAGCCGTGAGCCCTAAACCATAAACGCAGCAGACTCTAACCCCATAAAACCTGAACCCGAAAACCATGCACTCAAAAATCTTAAACCCCAAACCGAATGAATCCTAAACCCTACATCCAAAGCTAACTCTACGCACTGAACCCTAAACCCTAAACCCTAAACCCTAAAAGAAGGAAGGCGTGTGCGAATTCATCCTCGGATGCCTCGAAGTTGTCATCCCCCGAGAGGCCATCCTCGGAGAGTCTCTGGTTGTACTGTTGATGATATAAATCTGCATTACCCATCCTAATCCAAAACCCCTGGACCCTAACAATCCTAAACCCTTAGGGGATCTATAAGGGCTTCTATAGGGTTTCTCTTGCAGTTTAGGGCTTAGTTCTTAAGGGTACTACGGTTGATGATATGAATCTGCCTTACCCATACTCAGGAGTATACCATAATTCCCATAGTGTAGGGTCTTTAAGGTCATGCAGGATTTACATCATCAACGGTAGCTTGGGGATGATAGGTTTCGGGCTTTGGGCTTCGTGCTTAAGGCTATTTGGCTGAGGGTTCAGGGTTCAGGGCTTAGGGTTGAGGCTTT